GGAAGAATATGTTTTATAGTTATACAGAAGTTTTACTGAGTTCTACCTATGTTGTAACCCATAAATGCAGTGACAGCAGGGGAAAGACTGCATATAAATATCTGGGGTTTTTTTTTCCTTGAGTAAGTGTAATGATAAATACTGTGCAAAGACAGTGATTCTAAATCTCTTGGTCTTGGCTGGGTTGGAGTTAATTTTCCTCACAGTGGTTTGCATGGGGCTATGTTTAGCATTTGTGCTGAGCGCCAGATTGATAATATAGTGATGTTTCTGTTGTTGCTGAGCAGGGCTCACACAGAGCCGAAGCCTTTTCTGGTTTTTGTGCTGCACAATGGGTGAGGAAGTTGGGGATGCCTGGGAGATTTTTAAGAAAATACAGCCAGGACAGGTGGCCCCAACTGCCCAAAGGGATATTCCAGACCTTGTCACCTGATGCTCAGTATATAAAGCTGGGAGGAGGAAGGGCAAGGCATTTGAAGTGATGGCATTTATCTTCCCAAATAAGCATTACAGTGATCAGTGCTCTCCCAGAGATGGCTGAACACCTGCCTGCCCATGGGAAGCGGTCAATTCATTTTTTGGTTTGGTTTTCTTGTGTGTGAGTGCAGCTTTTGCTTTCCCTATTAAACTGTCTTCATCTCAACCCATGAGTTATCTTGCTTTTCCCTTTTGATTCTCTCCTCAGTCCCACTGGTGGAGAAATGAGCAAATGCCTGCATGGCTCTTGGTTGCTTCCACGACAACTGGAAGAGTTTCATCTGTCCTACAACCATCATCAATGTGGAGATTCAAAGATAAATATGTGTTTCCTATACCTGTAGAACAAATAATTTCGTATTAATAGGTATAAACAGATGTAAACACTGCCTGGCTATCTGCAAATGAAAATACGTATCAGGGTGGTGGCCAAGCATAAACCTGTATTAAATAACATGCATACAAAAGATCTACAGAGAGAGAAAAGTAAATCTAAAAGTCCCCATTATCACCTCCCCTGAGAATAAGAACTTTTCAGAAAAGTGGTGAAAAAGGACAAACAAAAAAACCCAGTGATGGCTCAAATGTAAAAATGTGCAAAATTGCCAAGCAAAACCTTTTCACATTCAAGAAACATTGTATAGTAATAGGCATCCATTGGAAACAGGGAAAAGAAAGGGAGGATCAAACAAATTGAGAAATAGCTGACAAGCAAAAAACCCCCAAACCTGTGCACTGCGCACAGGCAAAATTAACCAGAGGATAACGCCTGCCAAGACAAATGGTATATAGCCACTGCATGGGATAGCATTATTTGACAATCCTTCCAGAACAAAGCAAAAATATCTCAAATATATATTCATAGTAAATTTAAATAATAACTTGGAAAAAGTAAAAGTAGTTGTGTACATGCAAAGCTTGAAGCCTTTTAGGAGTCATTTCAGCAGAATTGACTCACGCAGCTAACAGACAACCCAACAAAAAATAACACCTCCAGACCACTTTTTTTCTGTTCAAAAAGTAATAAATTGTAGAGAAGGAAATTAAAAATGTAATGTTTTATTATGTTTCAATAAAGAATAGGACCATAACAATTATCCAACACTTGCAACATCTTTAAAAGCACAGACATAATGCAGATTTTTTCATGCGTACATCAGTAAGAGATACAAATCAGTTCTTTCATTAGGACACCACTCCCATAAACACAGCAAAGCCACGTGATTATTTGATTATTAAGCCAGAGATGTGGGACAGACAAGGCTTCCCTACAAGGACCAAAAAAAAAAAAAAAACCCCAAAAAAAAGGTCCTACTCAAAGGGGAAAAAAAATAAAAATCGCAACACATTACAGCACATTACCCAACTTTCTTAACTTTCGGCAGAAAAGGGTTCATTTACGGTAGAACCGGGACTGCAGCGCCCACTCTGTCCCCTGCCGGGCCGGGCCCTTTGTCTGGCACAGCTCGCGGGCGGCGGCGCAGCGCGGGCGGGACGCGGCTCCGCCGCCCTTGGCCGGGCTGTGCCGCAGCCCCGCGGCCGGCGGGGCCCCGCTCCGTGCGGGCACCGAGAGCCCTCGGGCGGGGCCGGGCAGGCGGGCGGAGCGCGGCGCGCACGGGGAGAGCCCGGCCGGATCCGCTCCGGGCCCCGCCGGGTTCGGGCTCCGGGGGCGGGGCAGGGGCGGGGCCGGGAGAGATGGCGGCAAAGGCCCGGCCCGCGGGGGGAGGGGCGCGCACAGAGCCCGCCCCGGCCCGGCCCAGCGCAGTCCTCAAACAGGTCGGACCGACGCCCATATACAGCCGTGACGGGCTTTGATCCGCTTATTGCTCTCGCTGTTGTGATTGTGTGACCATGTCTGGCCGGGGCAAGGGCGGCAAGGGGCTCGGCAAGGGCGGCGCCAAGCGCCACCGCAAGGTGCTGCGCGACAATATCCAGGGCATCACCAAGCCGGCCATCCGCCGCCTGGCTCGGCGCGGCGGCGTCAAGCGCATCTCGGGGCTCATCTACGAGGAGACGCGCGGCGTGCTCAAGGTCTTCCTGGAGAACGTCATCCGCGACGCCGTCACCTACACGGAGCACGCCAAGAGGAAGACGGTCACGGCCATGGACGTGGTCTACGCCCTCAAGCGCCAGGGTCGTACCCTCTACGGCTTCGGCGGCTAAACTTGTTTCCTTTAATAGCTCGGCGCTTCTACAATACAAAGGCTCTTTTAAGAGCCACCCACAGATCTCAAAAAAGAGCTTTAAATCGCTTTTCTAGTAATTGTGTAGAATTTTTGGGGTTTGGAGGAAGGGGACAGGGACTTGTTCTTCTCAGGTTCCCCAAAGCCTATGCTGCTTGGTCCTACTTTTCTGCGGTTTAGAGGGCAAATTCTCGCAATCAAGTGAGCGGGACTATCCCGATTTACTCGGAAAACGAAACGAGGGCAATCGCTATACTGCTTTCACCGGGGGCTCTCCCTGCTGTAGGAAAATACCTTCTGCAACTTACATCCTTTTATTTCCCCCATTCCTCTTTCACACCCAGCACCACCCGCTAAACACAGACCCTCTCGCCACAGGACAAGGGAAGCGTCACACAGCCGAGAAAAAACAAAGCCGGGGGTAGGTCGGGGCCAGGCGCTGTTCCCATAGCCGCTGGCGCGGCACCGCTTTTACCGCCACAGCCTGCAAGGGGAAGGGAGGGAGCTCCTGAAATGGCGGCGCTCTTCTCTCTGCCATTCGGTGGGCGGGACGGAGCGGGAAGAAGAAACAGCCACGAGCACCCCTTGGCGCCCTGCGCATCAAAGACGGGGCTGTGAGCCCGTGATCTTAAAAAGCCCCCTCACCCGCCCCCTCCCCGCTCCTGAGGCTGCCCCTTCTCCGCCACCGCTCCCGCCTGCACCAGCACAGCACCGCCCCTCACACCCTCTCAGCCCCGGCGCCTTTAGACAATGGTGAGCCTCACTATGACCCAAACACACGGGGCACAAGGGGAGGGCACGGCTGGACACTGCGGAACGCTCCCACTCCCCCAGATATCCCTGAATCCCCACTACACCCTGGGCAATAGAAGTGCTCGGCACGGGCTGCCCCTGCCTGCACCGCAACGCAGAGACAACAGCTCTCTCCAGTGGCCGTGTGGTGGCTCTTAAAAGAGCCTTTCGGTTTGAGAGAGAAGGGCTGGCAGCTCAGGCGCGCTCTCCGCGGATGCGGCGGGCCAGCTGGATGTCCTTGGGCATGATGGTGACGCGCTTGGCGTGGATGGCGCACAGGTTGGTGTCCTCGAAGAGCCCCACCAGGTAGGCCTCGCTGGCCTCCTGCAGCGCCATGACGGCCGAGCTCTGGAAGCGCAGGTCGGTCTTGAAGTCCTGCGCGATCTCGCGCACCAGGCGCTGGAAGGGCAGCTTGCGGATCAGCAGCTCCGTGGACTTCTGGTAGCGCCGGATCTCGCGCAGCGCCACCGTGCCGGGCCGGTAGCGGTGCGGCTTCTTGACGCCGCCCGTGGCCGGCGCGCTCTTGCGGGCAGCCTTGGTGGCCAGCTGCTTGCGGGGCGCCTTGCCGCCCGTCGACTTCCGCGCCGTCTGCTTCGTGCGCGCCATCGCTGCCGACCGTACGCTGCACAACCAGAACAGCAGAGAATCCAACAATGACTGCAAGGAGCGCTCCCAGCTCGTTTTTATATCCGAGCGCTGCCTGTTGATTGGGCGATGGAAACAGCCGCGCTCAGGCGAAAGGTTTGAAAATCCCGCGTTAACCCCTTCCTGTCCTGAGCATTGCTCTTAAATACCTAACCCAGAACAGCCTTTTCCTTAGTCTTCCCTTTCTTCCGAGCCGGCATGGTTGCTTTTTAACGACTTGCTTTAATTAATTATATTACTCCGCCACTACAAGTGGGTGAAGATGAAAGACCTATATTCTAACAACTGCCAATAACTTGTTTGTAATCAGCTTTCCTTACCCATATTTTATTCTCTATTTAAACTGGTTGCTTATATTTTGTCATCCTGTACTCCTTTGCAAATAGTAACAAAGGAATCAGGTGCTTTGCATGCATTGCGAATCTAATACTTTCCTGGTGGAGTTTTTATTTTTTGTTCTGATTATTTTTTGCTTATTTGTTTGTAACTTGTTTTTTTAAATTTTTGTTTTGGGAGGTTTTTTCTGTTTCGTTTACTTGCTTATAAGTTTGTTTTGTTTGGTGTGTGGTTTGGGGGGATTGTAGTTCTCTTCAGGTAAAGATTTACAATCTTTTTTTAAAATACAAAACCGTAAGTACTATTCCGAAGAAAACTTTGGGAAAAACAAATAGTAGAAATAGACATAATGCAAGTATAACACTGATAAATGCTGATGCTTTTCTAACAAAAAGGAAACAGCACAAGATTAGATCCTAACCACTGAGGCTCGGAGTGGCTTCAGTTGTAACCCAATTAGATTCTCTGCTATCTGGCCAATCAAGGCGGGGGGGCGGGGCCGCCGTGCTCTATAAATGGGGAAGCAGGGAGCGATTTGTTACTGTTTCAGACCGATCCGTGCGAGGGGCAGCGATGGCGCGCACGAAGCAGACGGCGCGGAAGTCGACGGGCGGCAAGGCGCCCCGTAAGCAGCTGGCCACCAAGGCTGCCCGCAAGAGCGCGCCGGCCACGGGCGGCGTCAAGAAGCCGCACCGCTACCGGCCCGGCACGGTGGCGCTGCGCGAGATCCGGCGCTACCAGAAGTCCACGGAGCTGCTGATCCGCAAGCTGCCCTTCCAGCGCCTGGTGCGCGAGATCGCGCAGGACTTCAAGACCGACCTGCGCTTCCAGAGCTCGGCCGTCATGGCGCTGCAGGAGGCCAGCGAGGCCTACCTGGTGGGGCTCTTCGAGGACACCAACCTGTGCGCCATCCACGCCAAGCGCGTCACCATCATGCCCAAGGACATCCAGCTGGCTCGCCGCATCCGCGGAGAGCGCGCCTGAGCTGCCAGCCCTTCTCTCTCAAACCGAAAGGCTCTTTTAAGAGCCACCACACGGCCACTGGAGAGAGCTGTTGTCTCTGCGTTGCGGTGCAGGCAGGGGCAGCCCGTGCCGAGCACTTCTATTGCCCAGGGTGTAGTGGGGATTCAGGGATATCTGGGGGAGTGGGAGCGTTCCGCAGTGTCCAGCCGTGCCCTCCCCTTGTGCCCCGTGTGTTTGGGTCATAGTGAGGCTCACCATTGTCTAAAGGCGCCGGGGCTGAGAGGGTGTGAGGGGCGGTGCTGTGCTGGTGCAGGCGGGAGCGGTGGCGGAGAAGGGGCAGCCTCAGGAGCGGGGAGGGGGCGGGTGAGGGGGCTTTTTAAGATCACGGGCTCACAGCCCCGTCTTTGATGCGCAGGGCGCCAAGGGGTGCTCGTGGCTGTTTCTTCTTCCCGCTCCGTCCCGCCCACCGAATGGCAGAGAGAAGAGCGCCGCCATTTCAGGAGCTCCCTCCCTTCCCCTTGCAGGCTGTGGCGGTAAAAGCGGTGCCGCGCCAGCGGCTATAGGAACAGCGCCTGGCCCCGACCTACCCCCGGCTTTGTTTTTTCTCGGCTGTGTGACGCTTCCCTTGTCCTGTGGAGAGAGGGAGTGGGTTGAGGGCGTGGTGATCGGCGTGTAAGAGAATGGGGGAAATAAAAGGATGTAAGTTGCAGAGGGTATTTTCCTACAGCAGGGAGAGCCCCCAGTGAAAGCACTACACCCATCGCCCTCGCTTCGTTCCCCGAGTAAAGATCAGGATATCCCTGCCTACTCGAATATGAGATTTTCCCCCTAGACCGCAGAAAAGTAGGTTGAGGAATTGCGGGTATTAGGGAAACCGGGAAAAATTAAATCCCATCCCCCCAATTCCTCCCAACCCCAAAACTAACGTAATACGATTAAAGGCGCGGTTTAAAGCTCTTTTTCTGAGATTTGTGGGAGGCTCTTAAAAGAGCCTTTATGTTGTAAAAGCGCTGGGCTATTGCAGGAAACGAATTTAGCCGCCGAAGCCGTAGAGAGTGCGACCCTGGCGCTTGAGAGCGTAGACCACGTCCATGGCCGTGACCGTCTTCCTCTTGGCGTGCTCCGTGTAGGTGACGGCGTCGCGGATGACGTTCTCCAGGAAGACCTTGAGCACACCGCGCGTCTCCTCGTAGATGAGCCCCGAGATGCGCTTGACGCCGCCGCGCCGAGCCAGGCGGCGGATGGCCGGCTTGGTGATGCCCTGGATGTTGTCGCGCAGCACCTTGCGGTGGCGCTTGGCGCCGCCCTTGCCGAGCCCCTTGCCACCCTTGCCCCGGCCAGACATGATCACACGCTCACAACAGTGAGAGCAATGAAAGCTGAAAGACCCCGCGCGGCTGTATATGGGCGTCGGTCCGACCTGGTTGAGGACTGCAGGGAGAGGCGGGGTCTCCTGCCCAGTCTCCGCCCCGCGCCCTTCTCCTGCCCCCGCCCCGCGCGGCTCCGCTCGCGCCCCCCGCGAGACGCGGCCGCGGCGCTTTGTGGGCCGTGTTCCTCGGCCGCGCCCGGCTCCGCCTCTCCTGAGCGGGCCTGGCCTCGCCCCGTTCTTCCTGCGGCTCGGGAATCACGGAATATTTTGAGAAGGGAAGGGACGGGACCCACATGGATCATCCAGCCCGACTCTTAAGTTGCTAGCTAATACAGAGATTGAACGTACACTATTCGCTTTTAGCACGGGGCTCTAACGAGCCGAGTCAATGTCAGGCCGCACTTCATTGTCTCTGCCCGCCGGCAGGCCCCGCGTCCCTCTGCCGCTCTGCCGGCCCGCCGCGCCGTCCCCTGCGCTGCTGGCACTTCCCCGGCACCTCTGGGTCACCCTCAGCAGCAGGAGCGGGTCTGCCACCCCCGGCCCGCGTTTCGAGCTGCGGCGCCCCTTCCCCGTCCCTCCCCGCGGGTCTGCGGCAAAATCCGACCAATGCGGGGCCTCGCCCGGCGCTCCCGCCTCCCCCCGCCGCCCCTCCGCCTCCCGCTCGCGGGGAGCCCCACGGAGCCGCCTTTCCTTTTGTTCGGGTCCGCCATGGCGGCTTCTCGGTTGTTTTGTCTCCGCGGCCGCTCCCACAGCCGCCCCCTGCTCCGTGCGGGGCGGGGAGAGCCGGGAGCGAGCCCCGGCCGGCCGGGGAGGAAGGGTCAGCCAGGGCGGGCAGCGGGAGCGTTTGGAGCACGGATTCCCTGGAGGCAGCTCGGAGGGGCTGTTTGAGGGAGGGACCGTCCCTCCTGCCCGGCCCAGCCCCGCATTGCTGGCCGCAGGCTCCGAGCCCGCTTCCGGCAGCCGCCGGCCTCGGAAAAGAGCATCCGCTGCCGGGCACCGGGACTCCGCAAACGAAAGAAAGCAGTTCGGACATCACAAACAACTGTCTGTATGACTTCTGAAGGATGAGCACTAGCCAAGCAATTTTAATTTCAATGTGGAATCCAGAATTTTTTTTTTCCACGTGTTTCACGCTTTTGCAGAAAACACGTCATGCATGCTGCTGACTGGACGTTGGACTGTATTTGTGAAGTGAATTAATAAATACTGAGAGAGCTATGAGATTGTATTTCTAAATTAAATATTAAGATTTAAAATATTACAGTAACGAGACTGTATTTCTAAATTAAATCTTTTAAGATTTTAAATATTACTCACACAGAACAGATATGCCTAAGGTGCTTTTCCAATTCTTACATTTTTAGTATTTTATATCCTTTAAACATGCCTACTACTATAAAATTTTTCATATCCTTTAAAAATGGTGCAGGTATTTATTTAAGTTTATTCCATAATCTAATGTAGAGAACCTCAGCAACATCTCCAAAATATTTCTGGGAATAAAATATTCTCTAAATTCAGGGGGAAAATGCAATTGACATAGACATGCTTTCAGTTGCAGGTGACAAAAAGGTGCAAATATTTTTATAAATATTACTGTGAATTCCTTCTTCTTTCAAATTTAAAGAATTGCTACAGTATTAGGAGGAAAATATATCTTTAATTTAGATTAGGTCTGCTTTTTTGACTGAACAGAATGAAGTTAGACCCTTTATAGACTAACTGGGAGGTCTGTCAGTAGTGGCGCTGCCAGGCTGGTGCCCAACATTCTTGTTTTGCTCCACAAAGTCTGCTTTGTTCTTCATATCTGAAAATCTGTGTCTAGCTATGTTTCCTGAGGCAGTTAGAAACAGCTTTCTGATTACTTAAGAAACCTGAAAGAAATTATGCAAAACCTTTTGGTATGTCAAAATAATAATTTATTCCTAAGGCTTCCTAAATGCAGAGCGAGGATCCTAGCATAACTTTTCCTTCCAGCAGCATAACCACTGCAAGGCTTGGAAAATCCCCTTTGATTTCTGCCAGAGATGGGTGATGGAGAGGCTGAGACCAGCAGCCCAAAGTAAATAAAACAGCTGCAAAGCCCTTTCCTCAGTAAGTGTAGCACATTAGGTACAATTTAACATCATCCCTTCTGGAAGGCTGCCTTGCCTGTGTGTTGCTGCAAGTGCACCCAGACACATTTCACAGGTGTGGCTGTTAGGGATAAATTCAGTTCTTTTATGGATCAGAACATTTTCTTAGGCAAAAATAATTTTGAAAGAGAAAAAAGAATTTTTTGCTGCTCAGTAAAATCCCTAATAAAGTTATTGCTACTGTTGATTTGAGATAATTTATTTTTTTAATCAATGTTTAGTGTCCAATTCACATGTTATAGATATTACATTTTCCTCATGAATTTGGGCACATGGCACCAGGGGTTAAATGAGAAAGGAAACCTTTGCAAAACTCAGCTTGGTTAAAAAAATTAAAAATCTGTAGCTTTTCAAGTGTGTGCATTAATTAGGACAGTTGCCCTAGCTCCTCATCAAAATATAATGAGGAAATTGCATTTGTTTATTACAATAAGGCAACATCTCACAATGACTGCACAAGAGGGTACATAATTATTTAAAAAAGTCTTTGCGTCAGTGGATTATAACCAACTTCAAGGCTGCTCATAATTTTCTTGAGAGATTAAGTGGCAATTTAAATCCATATCTGTATCTGCTGCAACTGCCATAATAGGTGCAATATTATGCACACTAAAGTGATGGAAGAGCTGCTCAATAGGTGCATTTTTCCTAGAATTGCAAGCAATATAGATGAAAAGGGCTAGAAAAGCTCTATGAATATTTAACCATGCAGTTTTAAGTCTTTTGATACAGACTGACATCACTGAGTTATCCCCAAGCATAACTGTGATCTATAGTATTTAAGTAACCTTGGTTGCAGATTCAGATCTTTATTTTTGTCACAGATTCTTTAGAATGTGAAGGTGCATTGCAACCCAGTGACACAGCTAAGGCACCATGTGATATGGATTTCCTCTTTCCTACTGCTTATTGCATATCCAAATGAAATGAATTAATTTATTTTAGCTTGCTTAGCTGCATTCTTTCATCCACTGGAATTTACCTGAAAGCTATAACACCAGGAGATTTTCCAGCTCTGCTACCATTTAATCCATCTCATTTACTGGATTTTTACATTGCCTGAAAGCTGTCTTTAACACCAGATTTCCCAGCTCTCCTACCATTTAATCCATCTCGTTTAACGGATTTTTACACTGGAGACCTCATCACTGGTGAAGGCACTGCTGGCAAAGACAAATCCGGGGAGTGTTCAGGGCTGGATCTGAGCATCACAGAGGATGAAACTCCAGGTACTGAGGTGAGAAGACAAATGAGTGCAATGAGTGTTTGGAATGAAATTCTGAAGCATATAATGAATTCCTGGTCAGACAACAGTAAGAATTTGGAGGGATGCACTGGGCTTAGCTCCACACTCAAAGGATGGGGCCCTCTCTTGTGCTGCCAGCTCTGACCTCCACATACAGGAGTTTGTCCACAGAGAAAACCAGCTCATACCTCTACCCCACAGCCTTTTTTCTGGAATCTCAGTGCTTTGACCTAGAGATACACACTTGTGGCCCAAAAGCCAATCCTAACGAGGGCTGCAACAGAAGCAGCCTGAGCTGAAGGTGGAAGCAGGTGATTCTCCCATTCCACTCAGCCCTCCTGAGCCCCCAGCTGGAGTGCTGCACCAGCTCTGTGATCCTCTGGCAGAGGAAAGATAGGAATCTGTCAGAGCAGGTCCAGAGAGGGCCACAGAAATTATCAGAGGGCTAAATCTTGTCTGCCATGAAGAGTGACTGAGAGATCTGTGCTTGTTTGGCCAGGGAAAAGCTGGTTCTGAGGAAATCCTGCAGCAGTCTTTCAATACAGAAAGGCTTCTTTTCAGGCCTGTAGGGACAGGAGGAAGGACACTGATTTTAAACTGAAAGAGGTCACATTTAGAGTGCACATAAGTAAGGATTTTTTTTCAAGGAGGCTTGTGTGACACTGAACAAGGATGTCCAGGGAAAATGGGGATGCTCCATCCCTAGAGGATGCCATCCCCAGAGTCAGGCAGGATGGGGCTTTGAATAGCATGGGCTGGTGAAAGGTGACCCTGCCCACAAGCAGGGTTTGGGTGAGATAACCTTTAATGGTCCCTTCCAACCCAAACCACTCTGGGATTGAAATTTTCTGACAAACATGTGGGCAGAAATATCTTCTGGAAACTAAGTATAGAAGGCTCATGTTAAAATGAAATTTTAATTACCATTGCAGTTTTTAAAGAACAGAAGTGTAAGGGCCAGGAGATATTTAGCTGTAGCAAATAGTAAATAAAACAGCATAACAAAACTACTACAACCCTAAACGTGTCCACTTAACACCAAAACCTTTTACCACAGATACCATCTGTGGATACCAGATTAGTCTGATGCTCCAGCAGCTCTCTTATTTATGTTTCTCTCCACAAAGGATCCCTGATGCCCTGCTTTGGCCATGGCACAATGCTGCCTGAAACACCTCTCAGCTGCAGCTTGAGGAGGCACAGTGGCAGAATTGCCTTCCCCCAAGCCCAGGGCACTCCTCCTCCTCTCCAGGGGATGGGAAGGGCAGAGGTGCAGCAAAGATGAGGGCAAATCACCTCAGTGCAGTGTGCTGCATACAGACCATCAGAGGGGGCTGCTGGGAATGTCCTGGCAAGAGGAATCAGCCAGTTTTCCTCATAATTTATAAAAATGAATTTATGAAAATATTTACGGTTGTGCTCAGGGGTGATATTTGTGCCAACAATATAGAAAACTCAGTATTGCCCACTGTTAATTGATGCAACAAGAGTAGCAGCAATGAACAGCGAATTTATGAGTAGAAAGTTTGAAAATACCTCTTAAAATGGGAGCATACTACCACTATAAGATTCTCCTGAATGGAAGTGTTACACTGTTTCTTTAGATTGCACATCTGATTAAGTAGAGATGTAGATCAAATGCCATCTTTGCTAAGGCATTCCTCATTTTATATTACATATATTTAACATATATGTTACAATACATTACTTATATTTAACATATAGGGAACAACATGTATTTACATATAATAAACATACATGTAACATATTTATATATAGGAAATACATATATTAAACATATAGGGAACTTGGCATCTTGCAAAGAACAAAGGCCTTCAACAGGAATGAAGAAAGCCTTTTTTCACGGTTAGATGTATCTACGTCTGGGCTTTAGGATGGTCTCCTATTTATCTTCATGCTGCACAGCTTTTGCCACTCCCACCCGTGCTGTAGCCACCGTCCTGTGTTCTACACCCTAAGCAAGCTGTGCAACCATGAAAGGCGAGGGGAATAATAAAGTTCTTTACTGAATGTAACAATGAGCAAATGAAACAATTACAAAAATACTAACATGGTTTTAGAAACACGGCTTAAAAGGCAAATGTATCAACCCTCTTCAGTAGAAACGAAGTTTTAAAAAATCGAAACACAAGTTCGTTTGAGTTTAATTTAGTACTAATAAAGACTCAGCACCAGAGCACCTTTTTTAAGAAAGCAACACAACTCTTTTCTGAGTACGTAGGTGGCTCTGAAAAGAGCCTTTTGTTTAAAATGTTATGTCGTGCAAAGTCTGAGTGGCTTTGCTCGCCAAATTTACTTGCTCTTGGCTTTATGGCTCTCCGTCTTCTTGGGCAGCAGCACGGCCTGGATGTTGGGCAGCACGCCGCCCTGCGCGATCGTCACCTTGCCCAGCAGCTTGTTGAGCTCCTCGTCGTTGCGGATGGCGAGCTGCAGGTGGCGGGGGATGATGCGCGTCTTCTTGTTGTCACGGGCCGCGTTGCCCGCTAGCTCCAGGATCTCGGCCGTCAGGTACTCCAGCACGGCCGCCATGTAGACGGGAGCTCCAGCGCCCACCCGCTCCGCGTAGTTACCTTTCCGGAGAAGCCGATGGACACGGCCCACGGGGAACTGCAGCCCGGCCCGCGACGAGCGCGACTTAGCCTTGGCTCGGACCTTGCCTCCCTGTTTGCCGCGGCCAGACATGGTGGCTGGAAGCGCTGTCGAGCGAGGCTGGGCACGGAGGAAACCAGGACAATCCTCCTGACGCAACCGCCGCGGCCCTTTTATCCCCTCCCTGGGCGGGACGCGACCGCGGCCATTGGCTGGAGCCGGGCACCTCCGAAAGAACCAATCAGCGGACGGATCCTGCTAGGACCAATCGGCTGCAGGGACACGCTCTGCACGGCAAGGTCCAATCGCATTGCGCGGTGCTGATACCGGATATTTGCATGCACGTCTGTATAAATAACGGGCGCTGCGGCCATTTTGTATGCTGAGCTTCCCCGAGGTAGAGCAGCGCTGCTAAAATGCCCGAGCCGGCCAAGTCCGCCCCCGCGCCCAAGAAGGGCTCCAAGAAGGCGGTCACTAAGACGCAGAAGAAGGGCGACAAGAAGCGCAAGAAGAGCCGTAAGGAGAGCTACTCCATCTACGTATACAAGGTGCTGAAGCAGGTGCACCCCGACACGGGCATCTCGTCCAAGGCCATGGGCATCATGAACTCCTTCGTCAACGACATCTTCGAGCGCATCGCGGGCGAGGCCTCACGCCTGGCGCACTACAACAAGCGCTCCACCATCACCTCGCGGGAGATCCAGACGGCCGTGCGCCTGCTGCTGCCCGGCGAGCTGGCCAAGCACGCCGTGTCCGAGGGCACCAAGGCTGTCACCAAGTACACCAGCTCCAAGTAGGGCGCCTCGGACCGTCACTCTCAACCCAAAGGCTCTTTTAAGAGCCACCCACGTACTCCGTAAAAGAGCTTTAACACACTAGTGCCTTAGTCTTATTGGGTATTGAAATCTTAACTTAAAAAAAAAAAAAAGGTAGATATAATTTTAAGCCAACATTTATTCAGCTACTTAATCTTGCAACAGTAATTACGAAGTCCTTGAATTGATTTCAAATTGGAGGTAATTTAAATGTACTCTTCTTAAAGGTAAGCGTTTAAACACTTTCAATAAATGGAAACAGTATTTTTTTACAGAAAAAATAAAGAGACAATACTTTATAATTTGTTGTATCCAAATTAAAAGTTTCACAGTTAAATTAGCTAACATACTTCACGAAGGTAAAAACAATGTTTATAACTTTTATGGAAGGCGGAGGGAGAAATACTCGGCCCTCTTTACACTTTGTTTTAGAATTTTCTTATGCTGAAATATTTTGCTTTGTGTATGACGGCAAGGACTACAGGGCTGGGGGTAGGGAGAGCCCCCCTGAAATGGGGCAGACGCTTTAGACGGCTGCGATCTCCCGGAACTCGGGCCCCGGTAGCAGGGGTGGGCTCTGGATGGGGAGGGGGGCACGGATCGCTGCCCGCGCTTGCTCCCTTCCCCCCCCCCCCCCCCCCCCCCACATCCCCTCCCCCTTCCCCAGCAGCGCGGGCTTTTCCAAATTTCCACGCGGGCCAATGAGCGGCTGCGGCTCCTCCCAGCAGCCAATCACAGGCGGCCCCGGGGTTGCGCAGGGCCGCGCGCAGCCGCTCCGCCCCCCGCCCGCGGCGCCGCTGCCCGGCCCGGCCGAGCCGAGCTGAGCCGAGTCCCGCCGCCGGCCCGGCAGGGAGAGGGCCGGGATCGCTGCCGGCTCCATCCCGCCCCCCGCCCCGGCAGGCGCCTCCTCGGGAAAGTAGGTCGGTGAAATCACGCAGAAATCAAGACCTGCCCCAGGCCGGCGCTGGCAAGCGGAAAGGTCACTGCCACGGAAGCGGAGGAGCCGTGCTGACAGCAGTTCCCGGCTGCGGTCACTAAGAGGTGTGGCGGTCGCATCCGTGCTGTTAGGAATCGCGCTGATTTAGAGCAACGAAAGGAACCTCCACGCCCCAGAAAGGTACCCGCCCTTAGCAGTCCCTTTAACATAAACACCCACTTGCGGTGCTCCAAAAAAAAAAAAAAAAGAGAAAAAGAAAAAAAAAAAAAAAAAAAAAGAGAAAAAGCAGCCTTTAGAAAGCGTTTTGGCCGGGAATGTAAACTTTTATTTTTCCAAGTCTTAGTGTAAAACCAGTCCGTAAGTTTAGCGTCCCATCCACTCCACAGACGAACGTCCCACACGGATAGTGGCGAATAGTTGGCTCTGCTGCAGGCACGGAGCTCAGTGATGGAGTGTATCAGCCCTTTTGGGGACAATAGTGGGTGGCTCTTAAAAGAGCCGTTGGGTTTAAAAGTATTTCCACTTCAACACTTCATTTCTTCGGCGCTGCCTTCTTCGCCTTGGCTGCTTTCGGCTTGGCCGCCTTGGGCTTGGCTGCTTTGGGCTTCACCGCTTTCGCCTTAGCCGGGCTCTTGGCTGCTGCCGCCGCTTTTTTGGGCTTGGCAGCCTTTGTCGCCTTCTTGGGGCTCTTCGCTGCTTTCTTGGCCGCTGCGGCCGCCGGCTTCTTGGCTTTCTTGGGGCTCTTCTTCACCGCCGCCGCTTTCTTGGGCTTCTTGGCGGCGCTGGCGGGCTTCTTGGCCGCCGGCTTCTTGGGCTTCGCCGCAGCTGCTCTCTTCTTGGGGGCTTTCTCCTTCACTTCCCCGGGTTTCTTGCTGAGGCGGAAGGAGCCGGAGGCGCCGGTGCCCTTGGTCTGCACCAGGGTGCCCTTGCTGACGAGGCTCTTGAGCCCCAACTTGATGCGGCTGTTGTTCTTCTCCACATCGTAGCCGCCGGCGGCCAGCGCCTTCTTGAGCGCGGCGAGCGAGAGCCCCTTGCGCTCCTTGGAGGCGGACACGGCCTTGGTGATCAGCTCGGTGACGCTGGGCCCCGCGGGCTTGCGGGCCTTGGAGCCGCTCGCCGCCTTCTTCGGCTTCTTGGCGGCGGCCTTGGCGGCGGGGGCCGCGACGGCGGGAGCGGCGGCGGGAGCGGTCTCCGACATCGCTGCAGAGACTTCTTCTTAATCAAAAGAAAGTAATTGGGCTACAGTAACCCCGATGCCTGAATTTATAGCGAAGCGGTGATCTGTGATTGGTGCTTTGCAGAGCCCGCCTAACTGTTAGCCAGGAAGAGCTTTTCCTCCTCCGAGTCTGTGTTTCTTCGGAGTTATAAATTCATATTTTTCGTAAAACGAGTGGCGCAAAATCACCCCAGTTTCTTCGGAGAGTGAAGAGAAGACGGTGGACTTTCATTCGGGCAAGTTTCTTGCCGTTTGGACCGCAGATGGGAGAGAAAAGCCGTTTTAAACCCCGCGTTGTGAAGCCAGAAAGACCCCGGGAACGGCAAACTTTTGTTTTTCCTTCTAAATTAAAATAAAACACGTAGATAAAAAGTCTCCCCCGTAATGCAGGCTTACTCTTTGGGGGGTTTTCTTCAGATTAGGACAGAAACCGAGTGAGCAGCTTGAGTATTTTTGTCGTAAATTGATTTCAAAGACAAGGAAGTAACACAATTTCATGGCTAAGCTTTGAATATGGATAAAGATTCGGCTCTCTTAACCATATCTTTAACTATTAAGGACACGGTATTTCAACATATTTTCTTGTTTGGGGAAAGGAGGAGACCTTCAGAGGAATATATTTACTGTTGAAAAGTGTTTGGAACTTGCCAGGGCTACGCTTTTTGTTGTTGGGTTTTTTTTTTTTTTGTGTTGTTTTGTTTTGTTTTTTTGTCTGGTGCTTTATAAGTGGTTAGAAAGATTTTGATATTTTTATGAATAGTCTGTCTGTAAAATGAAGCTCTTAATGCCTAGTTGATGCCTAGAAATCCCAGAAAAACGGGTAGTTTAACACTTTCTCTGTTACAATAGTGGATGCTCTTCTTTATGACTTACAAACATCAGAGGCAGACTTGGGGAGGAAAACTGTCTAACAGATATAGATACACTAATATGTATTATATGCTATTTAAACAATTATGGAGCCAGCTGAAGCATCACTTATCACCCAAAAAATTAAATACTGTGGAAATCTGGCCTTCATGAATAGAATGCTTCAGTTTCAGTATAACTTACAAATATTTGGACACTGATTGTTGTGGTTTTGTGGGGTTTTTTGTTTGTTTTGTTTTTGTTTTTGTTTTTTTTTCATAGGTTTCATATTCCTCCAATTCTTTTCTTTAAAGGAAAAGGAAAAAAACTCCCTATTGAGGTTTCCATCTCAAGCCTAAGAGTACTGAAATAATTTTCAGACAATCCTCATAAATCAGAATCAGTTTTAATTATCATAATCCTTCTTAATTATCGAGTTTCATTAAGTGACCATAGAAATTAATTAAAACTTTTAAGGATAGCAATTAATTGTTTTGGCTAATTTTTTATTAAGTTAGAAGATAAAAGCCTCAATTGGTTTCTAATTAAAAAAGCAGCCAGAATTTTTTCCCATTAGTTTAAATGAACAAGTTAAGATCAAACTTAATATTTTACCACATTGTACTTTGTAAAAAATTGTCATGCAAAATGTCAGTAGCTTATTTCAATAAAATAACATCTTTTCTAGCCTGGATAAATTGAGATTCAAGATGACATGAGGTATGTTACGAAGGGGCCTGACATGCATTTTGATACATTGAATGCTGAAGACACAAAGTTATACTTGATAGCAAGAAGTTTTAATTTAAATGAGACAGATGAAAAGGATAATGATACAGTAGATACATTAAAATTACAAGTCAAAACAACAAACTATGGTGCTTCCATATTCACTTCTTTTTCTACTTTCATTTTGTTGCGCTTGCATGAAGGTGAGATAAATACTCGGAAGGAGGGGAATGGTAAGGGGACATTGTCAAAAATTAATCTTGTCAGTACTGCACAGTAAAAAACTGACTGAAAGGGATTTTGAGGTGGGCTCTGAGATCTGCCATGCCTCTTGTGAACGTGACATTGGTCCCACAGCAACAACCAGACCGAGTCCACAGGAGATTCTGAAAGTTCAGCGTGGCAAGTTGTGTGAGCAGCGTGAACACATTGGAGAGGTAAAAAAGTGTTTGGTTAGGTAGGATGAGGGCATTGCGCACATTTTCCAGTCTAGATGAACAAAGATAAAGCAGAATCTGACTGTAAGTGATACAAGGGGAGCGGGGAGTGTTGTCATCTCTCCGGGTCTGTTTAACGTGGTGCACATTCTTCAGAGAATAAAGGCTGCACGACGATTAATGTGCTTTAATCCCTGCAGCTTTGACGGCTGGGTGTTAGAGCTCCCTGACTGCTTTATTACACTTGAAACTGGCCAGGAACCTGGGAGGGACAGGGAGCGGACAACAGCTGCTCCTACAGGAATGCAGCTGCAGCCCCAGGGGTGCATCCTCCTTGCACCTCCCTCGCATTCTCACCTTTGAGCTCCAGGCTCCCTGTTAGTAAAGCTGTTCCCAGCCCACCAGGAGAGGAGAGGAGAGGTTTCCTTCCCTTCCCCCATAAACAGACCGGAGGTTAGAGATAAAGACAAGAAAGAAAGAAAGTGGTGGGAGATCTTAAACCTTCCTCACTGAGCAGCGCAGGCATTAGAATTCCACCTGCACCAGGTAAGGATTGCTCTGATAAATTTATCTACTCTTTAAAATTTATCTACTCTGTGATAAATTTCAAAGGCACAGGAACGTTTCTGGGTGGTTTAGGGGTTTCTTTGTTTGGTTCCTTCTGTTCTGTTTTTGTAAGGAAAGCATAGGAAGAGGATTGTAAAGGTTGTCATGTAAAGTATTTAAAGGGTAGAATGTAGGACTTCTCTCACTTTTGGTTCTGGGTGCATCCCTGTAAATCCTTCGTGTTCCTTGCTCCCTGTTTGGAGTTGCACTTCTGGAGTCCTTTGCTTTTTCCTAGTAGCCTGACATTGGAACATTGGAAGTCTTGGCAGCTGGCCTCCGGCATTGTCTGTCAGCATCCTTTATTGTATCTTCTCCCTAGCCATCACACTGGCTCTTATCTGCAGAGAATTATCCCTGGCCTACTTCTGAGAGGACAAAATGTTCCTGGTCTCACCATCCATTTCTGGAGAAGGCAATTTTATTTTCTCTTTTCTCTCTCTGTCTCTCTCTTTTTTTTTTTTTTTTTTTTTTGTGTGTATGTTAATAAAGAGAGGGGATTTAAAAATATGAAGTGGTGTGAGAAGGGGAAGTTTTTTAGGGGTTATTCCTGCACTCTGGGCCAAGCAACGACATTTTCTGCTTAATTGGGTTAAACAAACTTGTCAATTGCTTTGAGCAATTTTCAAGTTTGCACTGCTGGAAATGGCTGTTAAATGCAACTCTGAACCACAATGAAAATTCTCATATTTTAGAGACTGATCATTACAAACATTGACATTTGACAACTGACAATGCCTTGGGTGTTTTACTGATAAGAGGAAAAAGAAAGCAAAGCAAGCATCTGAGCACATAATTTATCAAATCAGTGGTAGATTAGGGAACAGTTTTTTAAACAGACAGAGAAATTTTCTTTGTGTGGAACAAAATTACTTGAAAATAAAGAAAGTTTTGAGAGTGAGCTGGTAATAAAAATAATTTCCATTTTCCATGTGAAAAGATGATATTTAAATGTGACTCATTTAATAATTAATGAGTCACAGCAAACATTTTCATTATTAAACAGCAAACATTTTTCAGTATTCTCCCTGGTTTCCTTTCCAAGCATCCTGTACAATTGTTGTCTCAGTTTATCTCTTACCAAGGAACTCAAGCAATTTTTTTTTCCCTCTTTAAATGTGCACCCAAACAAAACACGGCCTCATTCCCTTGCACCGTCACACTCATGCCCAGATTTTCTTGCTCAGCTGTGCAGGTTTCAGGGGAACCTACAAAATGACAAAGCGCTTTCTAATGCAGGGGTCTTCCAAACAAAAATCATTCATATATAATGTAAGAATTCCTGAGACTGTATAGTAGACAAAAAACTTATTTTCAAGAGAGAAGCTTCTCAAGGAGGAAAAACATTAGACAAATAAAGGCAAATAAGACATTCAGACTGCAGGAGGAGAGCAATCCAGATAAGCTGATTAGACAAATTTAGCTGAAAGCCTGCACTCACTTAATTACAATTACTACAGTTAGGAGAGTGAAGATACAGAGAAATTGACAACTTTTAACTGAAGCATGTTGTCTTCTTTATAAATAGTAATTTTGCAGTTACTCAAGTAATCACTCTCAATATTATTAATAAAAACACCATAACAAGATCAAAAGACATTAGTCAGGTTTCTGCCATGCTGAAAATATATTGACAATACTGATTCAGCAACTGCAAAGTTTATATGTAGGGAAGATCAAGATTCAAGTTGTCAAAGGTTTTCAGTAGTAAAGAAGCCTACATCCTTTTAGTTATATTTAACCCAAACTAACAAAAAGATATGGATGGGTACTTCAGTATCAGGACAATCACATCTCCGAAAAAAATATCTCATCTTTTAATCTAACATCTGATGCAGTAGGGCCTGGCCATGCTCAAAGCAGGATCAGCTAGAGCAGGGGGACACTAAATCCTCTATGGGGAGCATGCTCCAAAAATTTATTTCTTGCATTTAAATAAAATTTCCTGTGTTTCAGTTTGTGCCCATTGCCTCCTTTCGTGGGCAGCACTAAGAAAACTGGATACTTGTGGAGGCCAAGTATACATTAACCCTTAATGACACTCCAACAACATTTTACATTTTGGTAGTTCAATTCAAAAATTAGAATTTACAGTACTCAAAGCAGATGTAAAGGAAGAAATGGAAACCATGCTTAATAGGCTTTTTCCAAAAACCACTCAACCTCTCACACAGTCCTTAGTTTCAAGGCTTGTCAAGATGAGTTTGGGCAACTCTGATTTGGCTTGGTGCTCATACTGTATGTGCCTGAAGGATTTGTTAAGGCCAGTTAGAGTCCCAGCAAAACTTAAATTCCTACAGTCTGGAGTGATCAAAAAGTGACTGACTGATCAAAGAAGTGACTCCTCTGCCATAACTGCTAAATGTTTGCCAGCCAGCAAAAAAGGGCTGTGCATTTTAATGAATAACCTCCCAAATCTTCTCTTTCCCCCCCATATAATGAGAGCTTAAAGCAGTAAAATATTCCTCCTGAAAGCTTCCGAAAGCCTTTGGTTTAGAGATCCTCTTCTAACCAAATTTTGCTTCTCTCCATCCATCCATGGGACTGAGAATTATTGCTAGTAGTAGTAACAGTGTTGTTAAGCTTAGGAACCTCAGTAAAGAGCAGGATTCTCTGTTACCCTGCTCCACCGACCAACTAACTTAGTATGGATTTCAGCTGAAGAAAAA